TTGATGAATACCCTTATTGTCATCGAATACATTAAATTAAAATGAAAAGTTAACCTTGACGGAGAATAATTGTTTAAGTCTCCCTCCTATTAAATTAATACAGGGCCCAAATAAAGGCATCAAGGATCGAATCAGATTTTATACGAAATTTCTTTTTGAGCATTCGGTAGTGAGTTCGCTTTTTCAATTCAAATTGAATAGGAGAAAAAAACAGCTGTCATTTTATTTCATTCGATTCGAATCGAGTTTCATTGGACAACGGATGCTGTGATTCGGGCCCAGATTTTTTATTGAATATTTTATTCACGTGGAATACATTTTTGTTGTTCTATATAAAAATACAATTTATCCCAAGGCGAATTCATATTAGGTGATAGCAGGAGTACATAAACAAAAATTACACTAAACGCACAATGCCAGTAAGAATTATAAACTATACATAATTTTGACATTAAGCTGATCAGGTAACACCATCATTTATGAATTTGCCGTGTTTTATCCCATTTAAATAAAAAACTATCTGATATTGTTTCTTTAAAAAAATCTACCAACTTCCACCGATTTTTGTATGTTAAATCTACCAATATTAATTTTCTGGAACTCCGTGCACTGGCCGCAGTTGCCCCGGCGTTGATTGCGTGCACCACTGCTTGGTGCGAAATGCGCATATCTCGATCGCTTATACTGTTAGCTGTTAGGGATTGATGGCCTGCACCAAATCAAATTTACGAAAGGTAAAAAGTGTTTGTACTACTATGTAGCATGATTTCCATTTTTAAGCATCAATTGTACATTTTACTAGTAATGAAAAATTATCACTTTTCACTTTCATTCGTGCACATATATACATACATATGTACGTATTAATTAAGTGTGTTTATCTGTTAAATTGTAAATACACACTTTCGAGATTCGTTATCACAAATTAACACTACATATGTGCATACATACATACATATATGTATGGCACGGTTGAATAGTATGTAGTGCAAGTATCAGAATAAGTATGTATGTATGTAAGTGCTTTGGATTTTTGTTATACGAGTAAATGCGTAATCTGAAATCAATATCAATTGGAGCATTTGTTGTTGGTTGCCAAAAGGTGTGAATAAAGAAAGTGAGTCTACTTTATAACATATCATTACACAATATTTCAAAACTAAAAGAAAAGAAAGAGGGGAACATAAAAAGAGATAGTCCCTAAAGTTTGGTGATAAAAAATTATCAAATGGACAAAATTCCTATAAAATATTTTGCTTCTACGGGTTTAAGCTAGGGTTGCCAACATTTTCTAAGATATTTATAGTACGTTTTCAAAAAAATTGGAAAAGATATAGTACACTTCAAATAAATATAGTATTTTATTTAAAAGAAAAACTAAAAAGGATTTTTAAGTGATGGAGAATTTCTTCCCGTGAATGCCAAAGTAGTTGGAATAGAGAGTAGAAATGAATTAATTTTAAGCAGATTTATTAATTCTTTCTCAGTTATGTTACCTTTTTTGATTATAAACTCACAATGACCGTTTACTTTAAAGAATATTTGATTTAATATTGTTATTTCAGAATAGAGGTCACCCATTTTCATACACATTTTTTTTTATGCAAATTACTGAAATATATTTATATTTTTAATTTAAAAAATATAGTATTTTTGCGTTCTATTTTTTTCCAACAGTATAGTACGTCGACCGTAAAAATAGTACAATACTATATATTATAGTACGGTTGGCAACCCTAGTTTCAGCGCTTCTCATGCCTTCCTCAATATAAGCATTTAAAACGGACTCGACTCAATATAAATTGTTGAATATAATTGTTATAAAGGCCAAAAAAATAACAAAAACAAATAACTTAAGGACGAGCACACCTAAAAGTTAAACATTCTAAAAATAGAATTATTAGCAAAAAACCAACAACCACATGATCAAGTGAATTGCAGCGGAATAGCTGCGCTTGATTGTGTTGGCATAACAAAAATGAAAATAGTGGAAAAAAGCAAAACGATAATTTACAAGGCGTACTTAGCACAGTGCATAGGCAACTGGCTGAGTCAGTGGGGTCGTCGGTTCGAATCCTACTGAAAGAAGTCTGATGAGGAAATGTGGTGATTTCCGAAATAGCTATAACTTCTACCATTTTTTTCAAATTATTGCTGCTTTTCCACAATAAAATTTTCATTAAAAACGGCCTCGAGCTCAATATAAATGGTCGAATAAAATTCTTTGCTTGAAGTAGTCAGTTTTTTGCTCAAAAATTTGCAGATCGATTTAACAACTCTGTTGTGTAAAACATGGTTACATTTGTTATCAGCAAATATATCGAGAGAAAATTCTTCAAAAATTTCTCAAAACAAAAATCCTCAAGCTCACCCAAAATTCCTCACGTTTTGAGGAATTACTCACAAAGTGGTCACACTGGAATTACTTCTCCTTATAAAGGGCCGAAGGCCGTCCAGGGAAAGGAGAATTCCACTTAGGAAGGGTTATAATTCCTATGCGCGGCCGAAGGCCGCCTATGCAGAAAGAAGTTCTGCGCAAAAATACTTCCGCCCCTCTTTTTCCGGCAACACAGAAAGGAGAATTCTACTTAGTAAGAAGTTCTGCGCAAAAATACTTCCGCCCCTCTATTCGGGCAACATAGAAAGGAGAATTCTACTTAGTAAGGGTTATAATGCCCAATTATTGTAACTTCTGTAGTTTAGGAGTTATGAATGTTTCAACAGCGGACAGAAAGGAGAATTCTACTTAGTAAGGGTTACAATCCCTAAGCGCTGCCGAAGGCCGTCTACGCAGAAAGAAGTTCGTTTTCATGTATGTACTATTTCGGTTTTTGTCATATGGTCCAAAACGCTGCTCGCACTGCTTTTCAAATACCGCTGAAACTCGCTAGAAACAATTTTCGGATAGATTTTCTTCTTGCATCTGAAAGCATAAGTATGTGGCATTATTTAATATACAATTACTTAAAATTATTGTAACTTTCGTTGTTTAGGAGTAATGAATGTTTCAACAGCGGATTGGTACATTACAATTTTTGAAAGTACTTTTTCAAGTTGCTTTATATTATTGAAAAAGTCTGTTCTCCTAATATGTTTTCAAAAGTTGGTACACAGTTTCTTAGCTAAAGGATGGAACTCAGGAACTATGTGTTAATTGAACTGATAAAATTAATTTTGAGGTCAATATTTGCAAAAAATAGTCGGACTGCGACTTTACAGAAGGAGACTGTTACGTTACCTGTGCGATATACATGTAGGGATAAGATTATTAGAAAGAATAAAAATTTTGGCTATGGCAGAATAAAACGTTGAATAGCTTACACAGTTGCTTGTAAAATGAGCCCTACCTTTAACTAAATAAGAAAAAATGTTACCTGGAAATTCACCCAAGATTATGAAGAGTACAGGGAACTATTTTATTTTATTGTGAAAGAAGGCCGAAAATGCTCGAAGAAAACTAGATTCTCCCTTTTTTAGCCTGGTGGATTCCGCGCAAAAAACTTTTTAATATTTCAGACTGTTACATTACATTAAAAAATACTGCCGACTTTATTTTCATATAGAAGGCGAATCGCTGATTTTTATGTCGAATACTTTTTTTATTAATTTCATAGTAATACAAGACAAGCAAAGAGAAGCAAAAAAATATTGGTCATTAAATACAGTATCGGTCATATCTATGGCATGCCATTTCAAAGTGATATTGTGTGCCACTTATGTTTATTTATTTATTTTTAAGAATTTTCAATTAAAATACAGTTCATTCTCAGACAAACCCCATATAAACCCAAGTGTAACAATTTGTAGAAAACTACAAAAAAGTGCAACAAATTTTCACCTAAATTTCAAACTTTTTTCTCGGAAGTGTAAGAATTTTTTCGAGTACTCAGTTTTTTAGCCCCTTCAATTTTAGTGTGATAATGTGCAAGTTTCAAGTGGCTAAAAGTTACCGTTGATTTTTTAGAATTTTTTTCGCCAAAGGTGTTGCGGTTTTCTTCCATATACAACTAAATTGAGTTTATTCATTATATGGAAGCCAATGCGACAAAAAAAAATTCTAAAAAATTAACGGTAATTCGTAGCCACTTGAAATTTGCACGTTGTCAGACTAAAAGTGAATACTGTGTACTCAAAAAAATTCTAACACTTCCGAGAAAAAAGTTTGAAATTTATGTGAAAATTTGTTGCATTTTTTGTAGCTATCTACAAATTATTAAGCTTGGGTTTGTATCGGGTTTGTCTGAGAATGAACTATATTTTAATTGAAAATTCTTAAAAATCAGTAAATAAACATAAGTGGCACACAATATCACTTTGAAATGGCGTGCTATAGATATGACCGATACTGTATATACTAAAGGGTGAACACACCAAAACTGCGACACTTTGGGAAGCTTATAACTTACCCAAAACGAATTCGATATTTTGAAATTCAAATACCATAAGCTGACCACATGGCCTTAGTTGGACGTATAAGAAATTTCATTTGAATTTGATTCCTAGTTGAGTTAAAAATGGCAACCGAGTTAGAAACGAGACAAACCATTTTGCACGAGTTTATAAATGATCCGGCCTTAAGTACACGTAAAATTACTCAAAAATTTAAGATTGCACTATTCGACAGTTTGCAGGGTTTTAATCGGTACAAATAAGGCCTGGCAGTTACGAGAAAACTAGGGAGCGGGGGTTAGCATGGTCAAAATGATAAAAACAGTGGTTGGAAGGTCCTCAGTGCGTTTTCGCGAGATCCGAAGATTTTGTCGCGTTATGTTGCAAAACCCGTACGCAGGTCGCAGTTTTTCGAACAAAAGGTAAAGCGGAAAGCTTCATTGAGATGTTCTACAGCTCAAACAGCGCCAGACTGAGGCGCAAAGTAGAATGTTACAGCGAAATCCCGCATTCGGAAGTTGTATGAATTCTAAATTAAAAAATACAACTGCATTGTTATGGACTACGAAACCTACTGCTTTAAAAATTCAAAATATATTGCAGGTCAAGATATGTATACTGCTGTAAGTCGTCAAGATGTCCCTGAAAGCTGTAAGCTGAAAATGAAGTCCAAATTTCCAAAAAACTACATGGTTTGGCAAGCTATTTGATCCTGTCCCCATCCGGGACAATGAATGATCAAGTTTATCGGGATGAGTGCCTCAAAAGGCGTTTTCTGTCGTTTATCAACAGATAAGGAGTAGGCCACTCTTCAAGGCGGACATGGCAACCTGCCACTATGCCAAGGACACATTGCCGTGATATAATGCAAATAACATCAATTTTGTACCTCACGACTGCAATCCACCCAATAGCCCAGAGCCACGTCCTATTGGGGAGTATTGGTCAATTGTCAAAGAAATCTTGCAGAAAACAGTTGAAACAGTGAAAAATATTGAAGAGTGCAAAACAAAGTAGTTGTGCGCATCGCGTAAAGTCGATGATGTAGTCGTGCAGAACATTATGTCGCGTGGGCGATGAAAATACCGATCACTTGCATATTGAGCAAATAATTAATATTTTAACATTTTAATAACATCTAAACTTCCAAGTTATATAATACAAAAAAAAAAATAATTTCAAAGCCTTCTAGTTTGTTTCTGGTAGTAATTTCTAAGTGTCGCAGTTTTGGTGTGTTCACCCTTTACCCTTTAGTTTAATTTTCGTTATTTTACAGGTGTCTCAGGATTAAGTGAATTTTTATGTTTGAGACAAGGAAATTCGTGTTAATATTTATGTTGCCCGATACCTAAGAATATGGATGATCCATATATAATAAAAAATCTGCGAAACCTGAGAAATAATAATTTTCCCCCTGGTTTCGTTTTCGGCGATTTGGGTCATATGCATTACTTCGGCTTTTGTCATATGCATTATTACGGTTTTGAACTGAAACTGTGCATGTATGCATTACTTTGTCTTTGGTATATATTCTTTACTTCGGTTTTCAATCGAAACTGCATCTATGCATTATTTCGGTTTTTTTTCATATGCATTATTTCGTGTGCACAATTTCAGGGTGCCTCGCAAAATCGTTATTAAAACAACAGATTTGTAAAATAATAGCTAGAGAAAATACCGCTTATCAAAGCAATGCCTTCAAAAAATCGTTTTTTCGCTCTCCTGTAAAATTTCAGTGCCGAAAAATGGGCGGTTTCGCAATTGGTCGATGGGCGCTTTTGCAAAAACATCGAAGATATGATTCATTACCTCTCCAACGATACCAAATTTTTGTAATTATAGAAGGAATAATGATCTTATAAGGATTTTTTCATCCAACTTGGCAGTTTTATCGATATTTGCCACGCCAATAATTTTTAAGAAAGCAATTTTGTTAAGTCCATTTCTGTCAGTTATAGTATGAAATTAGGCTGTATGCAAAATTTTAGCCAAATCGAAGGCCACTGAAAACTTTTTGAAGTTTAGTGCACTCTCTGTAAGCTTGGAAACTTTTATTTTTAATGAAAATTATTAAAAATAAATAGATAAGCAAAAGTTCCAAACGATACCATTTTAAATTTTGCTACTATTTTATTTCTCGCAGCTTTACATACACATGAATACTGATCACATAATCATTATGCTCTATTTTTAATTTTTAGGGTACCTCTGGGGTTGGCATGCTCTGGCTATCGCCTATTGGGTCAAAGTAAAACTAGTCGTAGTGGGCTTCTTCGTCGGCAGCGCAGTATTCGTCGCCCTACGGTATGTCTGGCCAAATAAATGTTCTACTGGCATTGTACACGACTCACCCACTATTGTGTACGACCGCCCGCCGTAAGTGAATTTATTTATTAAATAAAAACCAATTATGGATTGCCTTTTGATTTGATTTTTTTTTTTGTTAATTTCTTAGTCCATCATTTGCTCACGATCATGTACCATATTCTCTCGACCATTCGCCCCACTTCGATCATTCCTTTAGTAGTTCAGATTCAGTTGATCCTTACTCTGGCTACGCCGGTTCGTATTCAGAAGATATAACTGCTACTGCAGAAGTGGTACCGCCAACAGGGCCAGGTACACATCGACTTGGGCGACGAAGTACGTCACAGCAGCGGCAACAAACAGAGCGACCAATGAAAATGGAGGAAAGGTACATTAACACATTTTAGTTCGGAAGTTAAAATCCTCGATTAAAATTTATTTTATTGTTAGGATTGCAGAATTAATGTTTGAGTTTTTGGGCTTGGATTCACAAGCTTGTCGCCGACGCTTTATTTGTGAAATGGAGTTCCGTTCCCGTTTGAATCCACTCAGCAACATGGCTTTCCGTATTGTAGGTCGTGGATTTTTCGAAAAATATCTGAACGCAAGAAATGAACATGACCAAGCGCATTCGTTTACAGAATGTGCAGCAGTTAATCCCGAGTGCGTTTTTATCGAGCAAAACGTGGACGAAGATATTACATCCGCAGGTCAAAATGGGTTGAAACTACAGAGTGCGGCTGTTGAAACAGCTAATAAAATTGATGGTAGTTCAGTGGAAAGCGAGAACGGAATGAATGAAGAAAGTCAAAATGAATCGAATCTGCAAGCCGAACTTCGGCTTAAAAAAACAATTTAAACACATTCGTGAGCAGCAAAGGACGGTCTCGTCTACGCATGAAAAGCTTTAGACAAATTAACTTTAATTAACTTTAATATTTATTAAGTCTGATATAAGAATTTCATAATTCTATCCATGACATCTACATATGTCATATGATATCAAGAATGATAGAATACAAGATTGCGCCGTCCTGGCCGTTGACATTTGTGTACCACAAGTAAACAAAGAATAAGCGAAAAGAAGAACGAGTAGAAACTGCCAAAACAGTTCAATTTACAGCGAAAAACGTGTTTTAAATTTGCTAAATGCGAAAATATTGCATTTTTCACCTAATCTTTTAGAGAATAGGTAACGTTTTAGTGCACTCCGTTGATTTGCAACTGAGGCTGCTTCAGCAATCGTTTTAGTTCACTCCATTGCTTTGCAATTAAACTGCGGCAGCATCTCAGCGGGATTGATTAGTTAACTTGCTAATGGAGGCTGCTTGGAGCAGAAGCAAAATCATTCTGAGGAAATGCTGTTAATATAATAATAGAGAGACATTTCGGGAACGACTTTGCCGTGCCCTATGTATACAAAATGCAGCGATTGGTCCCAACGGTACACTTGCATCTACGCTTCTTGCATCTTCACGGCTGTCGCAATTTAACACACAGCACTCCATTGTATTAGTTTTTACGCAGTCTTCAACTCAAAAATCACTCACAAGTTGCAAATTAACACAATTTAAACAGATTTTTCACTTATAATTAAAATTTCTCTTTCGCTGATTTGTAAACAAAGGTTTATTTACAAGTTACCACAATTGTCAAAATCGGCAAAACCAAAGTAGCGGTATCACTGACGGCGCCACCTTTGTTCGCTGCACCGTGATATGATATGAGGGTCACCAAATAAGGGCTTAGATCAGGGCTGGCAGTGCATCATTCATCAATGGTCGTAGTCACAAAAATAGTGATAGGCTTAAACGTGGTTTGCAAAATTAATGGTTTTTACGGATATTTGCCACAAATTATTGAATTTCAACGTAAAGTTTGAAGGCGCTAATAATTGCGTTCCTTATCTCCCAGAAATAGTCAGAAGTAGTCAGATTTAGTCGAAAAAGCGTTTCTTAACTCGAAAATTACAGCAAAAATTAGAGAGCAACACTCAGTGAGAGTCACTCTCTTCAGTCCGAAGTAGTCAGAAGAATTTTTGCTGACAAAATCATGAAAATTGTCAAACCCAACTGAATTTAAATTAACGGAAATTAAAGAATACACGAAAAGTGAGAATAATCTAAAAACTAAAGAAAGTGAATTGAAAATGGAAGGAGACAAAAATTTAATGATATATGTAGTAAGTTTTTATTATGCTTGCGCTTGTGTGAATGTGTTTTGTGCATACATTTCTATTCTTATTTGACGTTAGTTTTGTTGTTCCATTCTTTGGACTAAAAATTTGGTTTCTTGCGTCCCTTTACTTTTTCCTGTTATTCCCTTTTAGTGAGCGCATTTTGTTAAAAGGTCTGCGCACGAGGCGATTTTGCGTTCAACTCACGCAGGGTTGCACGAAAGAAAGTTGAATGGCTAAATGTTGGCTGGCGACCAACTTTGTTGAAAGCGATTAGTTGAAAGGCCGTTCAACCAAAAGTAGAATGCAAAGTTGAACAATGCAAACGCCTTTTTATGGCGAATATTTTGATATGTTTTTATATTTTGATATTTTTAGCCATTAAATTTTTTTCGTGCAAACCTGCGTGAGTTGAACGCAAAAGTTGCCTGAAAAATCGCCTCGTGCGAGAGCCCTATTACCCTCTTGCATTTTGACACTTTTCAGATTTTAGTCAGAAAAGATAAGGAATGGACCTAATAAAACTGTTATAATTATGACAGATCTCATTCGAGCTTTTGAAAGTTTTTGGTAAAGATATTGTTTCAAAAATTACATATATTTCCCAAACTTAAATTTTTTTTATCCGATTGGGATTTACATGAAAAACCAGACCGATCAAGAGGCACCGAAGTCTTCTTTGGTAATAAATTCTGTCTTTTGTCAATGTTATTGTGGCTTATTAACATTTTATTTTTAATATTTTTATTGAGCTTTGTACCACGATTGTTTATTAGGAAAAATTGAAAAAGCAACCAAGTCTAAGCGGTAGAAGTTATAGCAGCTATTTCGGCGATCACCACATCTCCTCATCAAACTTCTTTTTTCTAGACTGCAGCAGGGATCGAACCNTTTTTCTAGACTTCAGCAGGGATCGAACCTGCGAATTCGATGTTCAAAGTCAGAAGCGTTAACCACTGAGCTATGTACATCCCGGAAAATCTTGTTGCTAATTCTTTTTCCTAATAAACAATCGTGGTACAAAAAATAAAATGTTAACAAGCCACAATAACATTGACAAATACATAGTTTAGGAAGAGCCTGCCTGAAACTATACAAAAAAGCAAATAAGCAAATGGATGTATAGAATTGACAACAACAACAACCACGCTGTCGAGTTTAAATAGCGGCAAATCAGCTGCACTTGATAGTAGTTGGTTGAATAATTTTAATTTTTTTGGTTTTGTTAAATACAAAATGTTACGAAAAAAAGCATCCTTTGATTAAAAAAATTTGGTGCTTTTAGTTTGGTAAAACGCTTTTTTTCCAAGTTTTTGGTGCTTTTTGAAAATTAAAAGTTAGTAATACTGCCGTTATTACAAAGAAACAAGCGACCATTTGTCTCGAAGTCCTCCTCGCGCGAACTTTTGTTTTTTCCTTATTTTGAAAGCCCAATACAACGCATATGATTTTGTACAAACAGCGCCGGTCACTTGAATAGCGCCCCTCTTGATACTCAGTATTGACAGTTTCGCTTTTGTTAATTTAATATTTATTAATTTAAAAAAAAAATAGAAAATGTTCTATAACAAAAACGATATATTAACATAAATCCATTTTCAAAGTTTATACAAAATTTATAATAATTCAACAAATATTCAATTCATAAAAATTTCAAACTCTTGTTCAAGGTGTTAAGCATTTTCTTCCATACAAAGTGTGTTTGTCTATTTTTTTTATGGAAGAAAAAGCGAAGCACCCTCGGCAAAAAAAAAAATCAAAAATTAACGCGATTTTTCAGAAACTTTAAACTTGCAGCTTGTTATAACAAAAATTATTGGGCTACAAAAATATTTAAATATTGATGAAAATATATTGAATTATTATAAATTTTGTAAAGTTTGTATTGTGACCACAAATTCCACAGGCAAACACCGATGGCCTACCAACAGTCATTTTGACGAGCAATATGATTGCAATTTTTTTTTTTGTGTTGGCACTTTGATGTCTTGATATAAGCATTTGCCGCATGACGCCACCAGACAACATTCTCTCAATTTCGGTCTTTAAAAATATTTAAATTGGAGTAACTTAAATATAAAAAAAAAAACATTTAAAACTTAAAAAAAAAACTTGCTGAATAATTTCCTAAAACGTAATCATAAATAATCCAGTAGGGAATAGATTCCTATTTTGATTTAATATCAAAATTTCATCGATGTTACCACCAGCACGTTTTCTTTTAAATGAAAATATGGCTGTCAAACTATCAAATTGCCTGCAATAGATGTCAAGCAATAAGCGCTAACATATATTGCAGCCCATGCGAAATAGGCGGTCTCCACTCGAAATATATTTTGTGACATGGTTATCGCGACATCAGTGTTTTCCTTTGGGACAGGGCCCTAGTGTTAAGGATTATTATTAAAATGTTAGTTTATTTATTTGTCCTTGTTTTTATTCTTAAGTTTGCGGATGTATGTATGGACATTGCTTATTTTATTTGGTTGTCCTGTAATTTTATATACTGTATTTTTTTTTTCTCTTTCTCTGTATTTAAATTAGAAATTCGTTGTATTGTAAAAGATTATATCTTATTGTACTTATGCTTATACATTTAATAAATGAAATGAAATACTGTCCGAAAATCGGTTTAACATATGTAGTTTTTGTTATAGAATACATGTATGTATGTTATATTTTTATAAAAAATAAACGAATATTAAATAAACGAAAGGGAAACTGTCAATACTAACGATGAAAACGGGGCGCTACTCAAGTGGCCGACACTGTATATCCAAGTTATGTAACCTGTTACGATGTGGTTTAACTTCCTTGACATGTCGGGCTAGTTGTTGTTGTTGTTGTTGTTGTAGCGGCTACAACAACCCCGCCCAGATCGGTTGGTATCTCAGTCGTTGTCGTCAAGTTCCACTAACGGCAACCCTAGGAAGCGTGCAGCTTCTGTGGGATCTGTCCACAGGGACAAGGCCGTTAGGGTTGTCGGGTTTTCCGGGCATGCGCAGAGATGGTTCGAGTCATGTGGGGTCTCTCCGCATGCCGGACATTCGTTCGGCACATCCTCATTCAGCCTACTCAAGTAGGAGTTTAACCTGCTGCAGTCGGGCTAGTATTTTTGCATCGTTTGTCTAGCGGTCAAATGTTCATGGATTATTGTATGAATGGTAGGAGCGTGAATGCCTAGGTCGCCCTAGTTTCACTATATGCCACATGACGATCTTCTATTATCGCCCTGCGCATAGCGTCGATGTTTTCTGATGTACAAAGCGTTATTGGACGATCTTCTCAATGTTCATCGGCGAACGAAATACGACCACGCTATAATGCATTATACCGATCATAAACAGTAGCCCTTGATAGCATTTCATCACCAAAAGTCAAAACAAGTACATCGATGCACTGTTGTTTGGTTAAGTTATAAACAAACAACAAACAAAAACTATCTATTGAAATATTAATTTTTTCGATAAAAAATTTAAAATTTTCGATGCGAACATCAGATGTACTTAAATGACTAAATGTCTTGCAAAATCTAAAGCCTTGTTTAGTGCCGTTTTATAATCAAAATACACACAGCTATGTTTTATGTTTTTAATAGTTTAAATAAAACTATTTATTACTTTAACATTGACTTACTTAAAATACTTATTTTCTTTTCACTACCCCATACCACATTTAACTCA